TATAATTTAAATCGTAAAATACTTTTTTATACCGCTAATTTCATCCTTAGATACTAATCATCTTAATTCATGCTTCAAATTCATAAGCCCTTTTTAAGTTCTACATCGTTCACACTTAGGATAGGAATTCAGACTTCTAAAATAACCAAGCAATTATAGACAAGCAAGTAGAAGGAGGCGGCGAAATTTCATGCATTAAAGACGAAAGACAAAGTCTAAACCAATATCTGTAGACAGGAGATAAAAAATATAATACTAGAATGCTTACCAACATTACTATCTTCAGAAGAAATGAACATTTTATTTAAAAAATAATAAAAGAGTTAATTGAACCCAAAATTAACAGAACATGACCATATCCATGTCCATATCCATGCCCGCAATCTAGCAGAAACACTCAGACAAGCACTAAAAAATTCTATGGTTGTTCAGCTGCCATATTTGAATCTCACATCAATATATAAAAGAGGGCAGAGCATGCTATGACATTATTTTTACATCAACAAGTTTCTTGTTCAAGAAGCCAGCAACATAGATGATCCAGAATCAGCTAACCGTGACAATTTAGAATACCAATGACTACAAATTCCACATCCCCTAAAATCTTGAAACAGAGGAAGAGATAAGAAGATAAACCTGTTTCACCTCACGGTACATGTATTAACATTTCAAGGAAAAATGGTGTGCAGAGACTAGTTACGTAGATAACTACCTCAAGATTAATCATATTGACGTTAATGTGAATATGTGATGATTTAAACAATCTCTAGTACACTAGGGCAAGAAGGATCATTTATCATCATCTTCAATTAAGCATTCAGCGAGAGACAGCGAAGCATAAAATCTGAAAGAAAAGGACCAAGACTCAAAACATATGAAAACAGCATCAAATAACTAAATATATAATAACTTGAAAACAGGAGTAGATCCTCTAACCTTATTGAAAAGAATACATAGACATTGCTAAATAGTAATAAAATAAAGTAGTTGCAACAACTGAGCTTCAACCAACATCAGAAAATCAGATTTAAGTTAAGGATGACATTTTTCTGAATATCCAAGATCTCAACCAAATGGAGAAACATACATTGAACGCAACAGCATTATCATCAATGAAAATTTTAGTTTAGAAAACCAACACATTATTGCCAGTCACCACAAATTATAGAAAGAACTTCTAATGTATTAAGTTGGATTTTTCCTTCTCTTTTTAACATGCATTTTTAAGAACTAATTCAATAGAGCATTCTCTCAACAAGACAGGCCATGACTTGAAAGCTTGGTCCCATGGCCATTTCTTTCCCACTAAACTCTGTGTTCCTTGAAAACTATGTACCACAAAAATTTACAAAAAGAGCTATGGTTGTGTTTCTAGAGATCTAATGGCCATTATGTGCAACACCCTTTGGATGCATATCCAACACAAGAATCAAGTTTCTGAATTAGCCAACATCCCAGCAGCACACTGGCTGTACATTGGCACATGGAAACTTGCTTCCTTGATTACATCATGCATGTGTGCACCCATGTGGATGCAAGGGTAAAACCAGTAAACGTGCATGAAGCAGATTATCCAAATCAAAACTGATACATGTTGCAATATTTGACAATGACTCATAATGACAAAATTAAAAGGCAATAAAAGCTTTTAGATTCTTAAAAAAGTGCAATGGATTTAGAGTCTAAAATAGTTTACTTTTAGTTGGGATAAGACAGCAGTACAAGGTGCCAGAAACTTCCGCAGTTACCGGTAAACCTCACAAAATAGGTTTGGCCATGCAAGGATCAAGGAAGTTCAGTTTCACAAAACCAGCATGGTTAATGGAAGTGTTACTACCTACTGGTTGATGCATGTGGCAGATTAAGTTTTGAGCATTCTTCTTGAAACAATTTGAGGTCATGCAAAAGCTGTCGATGCATCCTACTTCAAGATAGTTGCCATACTGATTCTCAACTAATCATCATCCAGTGATCAAATGTCATCCCAACAAGTGTGTATAAGCACACCCAGCATTCAATTCAGAACATCTTCCACCAGATCAATAAAAGAAATGCTATTATGTCATTCCAGGCACTAACATTACTAACTAACAAAAACTAAAAGGCAAAACAAACTGTGCAAATATATGAAATTAAGCATAAATCAGTTATAGCCAATTAGTAATTTGCTTCATAAGACTTTAATACTGCAGAATTCAGTAGATTCGGACAAAGTATTCAAGGAATGAAGAAAAACAGTCAAAATTAATTGATGCATGTTGAGGCCAGAAAATCAAAGTGAAACCATCATTAATGAAAAGCAGAAGAATTAAAAGAAATAATCATGAGCTAAATGGAAAAATTGCACCTACTAAACTTGTCAAAATTGCAAAACTAGAACAGCTTCTAAACAAAGAAAAGCTTAAAGCCTCGAACTTGAAGGTTAAACTGTACTTTGAGGCTTCAGGTGTTTTCCAAGTTCAAACCTACTCGTTTCATCAATGTAGCAACTTCTTTCTAAAAAGGAAATTTGCAACTGACTCCAGCGTACAAATTGGCACAAGGGTCCCAATCCTTATACAATTCCGGCAACCCAAAGCCACCAGTTAGTGAAGAAAACGAGTTACTCTCTGTTCACAGTTTTTGTCTACATTTTGTCAAACTTAAATGGGGTTCTCTTCCTCTTTCCCATCACTGCAGCTTGTATTGCTTACAATCTTTTTCACCTCCTTCTCACGACTAAGCAGCTGAGAGGCATCAGAACCTGCCTTCTTCTGGCAATTTACCTCATCCAAACTCCTTCCCAGCAACCCCCTGTCAACCCTATTGGCTATACCCAAAAAGAAATCTGTCAGAACAGTCTCATAGCCAGGCATTTTGGCATATCCAGGAAAATAGTTAATGTCAATGATAAGGTAGCGATTACCAAATCTGGTATCCCTTATCACATCGAAATTGAACAAATTCAACTTCAATGCCTGCCTCAAACCCCTAGCAATATCAGCCATGAAACTCTGCGGTGGCAATTCGGTATCCTCCAAATGCATATTCTTGTAATACATTTCATCAACCTGTTCCTGAGTCGCCAAGTTAGATACCTGCGAGAACGACAAGGAACCCTCCACAGTCTTCACTGTTTCCTCGGAAACATCCGGCAAGGACTTTCTTTTAACGCATCTCACAAACTCGCCAACCACATAAACCTTAAAGATGACTCCTCCATGGTTGACAAATTCCTGCAAAACAATCGGGGGCTTGAGCTTGTTCAACCCATCATGGTTGTACACGAGAGACATTTTATGCGATTTCGCGCTCCCATCCGCCACCAACGGCTTCGCAATAACAGGAAACTTAAGAAGCTCCCAAGCCTGGCGGTCAAAAAGCGTCTCCTTATCGTATATAACAATCTGCTTGGGGATCCCAAATGTATCGCTCTGATTCTCGATCTTGAGCTCGGAAACGACGGCCAACATTGAAATCCTGTTGTGGAGGCGCGCAATCGCCTCCGGGGAGTCTAAGATGACGGCATTAGGGTTTTGGACAAGGAAGTCCTGGAGCTGGCGGTTCCAATCGTGGCCGTAGAGCTTGTGAAGTACGCAATCGAAGGGGCCCTGGAAGGAGAGGGGACGTTGAGGGTCGATCTTCACGAGATCGATTCCAACAGATTTCGCAAGATCGACCAAAGAATCACGGATGAAACTGTTCTGCTTCTTCGGCAACAGAGCGTATCCAATCACGAACCTCCTCTTCTCCGCCATGATAATCCACAACTAAAATTCCCTTATTCCGCCTTGTTTTCTTCTTGTTTTCATCTCACAAAATTTTCAATAAAAATAGTAACAAATTAATATTAGTATTATATAAATAAATATACTAATAATAATTCCCTCTAAAAAAAACACTACTACTAATTCATTTTGTAACTGTTCTGCCAAAAAAAAAAAGAAAAAAATAAATTTGTAAATTGTAACTAATTACTGTTTACTTTTTTTTTTTCCTTTTTGGAAAAGGGGTGTGTTTTGCAGTATTTGGATGATGGGGGAAAGTCTCTGATAGTACGTGAGCAATCGGGAGAATGTGGAGTAAAATGAGCAAATAATGACGTCAATTTTATATTTTTTTATTTAAAAATATTAATTTTGTCATTTTAAGATTTTAATTTTTAATTTTTTTAAATAAAAATATCAACTTTTAATTTTTTAAGATTAATTGAATGAGTGATGTCATTCTGACATATTTTTTAAAGTTAAATATCTAAATTGATCTCTAAACTTTTGTTTTTGAACTATTTCATCTTTGAACTTTATAAAGTACCGAAAACATCTTTCAACTTCAATTTTCAACACCAATTTCATTTTTCCGTTAGTTAAACGTTGATGTAGTTAATTTTTCTGTTAAGTGATTGACTATTTTATATTTTCAATATTAGGTGAAAAATCCATCATATAAAAAATGATTATGTGGATTTTTTTAAATTTTAAATAATTTAAAAACTGCTTTAATTCTTAATTTTACTTATTTATATTTAAAAATTAAACAATTAATATATTTTCTCATTTAATTAGTCTTACCTACCATAAGTAACTCTTAATTTATAAAGAAATAAATTAACTCTTATTTAATTTTATTAAATCAAATCTCACTTACTATAATCATTTATTAATTCATGGAAGAATCAATTAATTTTTATTTAATTTTATTCAATGGAATTTAATCATGGAAGAATCAATTGGGAAATAATTACAATTTATTTTAATAATTTAAACAAAAAAGAACGTCAAGGAAGAAGAGCCAAAAAATTATTTTAATTTTATTTTAATTCCATTGGTGCTGAAAATTGAAGTTGAAGGACGTTTTCAATACTTTTTGAAGTTCAATGATGAATTGGTTCAAAATAAAAGTTTGAGGGACCAATTCAAGTATTTAAACTAAAAAAATATGTTAGCCACGTTAGCATTACCACCCAATTAATCATTAAATATAAAAAATTGAAAGTTGACATCTTTAAATAGAAAAAATTAAAAGTTGACATCCTTATTTAGAAACTGATAAAGTTAACATTTTTAAATAAAAAAATACAAAATTAATATTTTTATTTGCACATTTACTCGAGAATGTGCATATATAAAAATATAGATAGACTGACATTGTATTAAGTGGTTAAAATTAAAAATTTTACATTTGAAGTGTTAAGTTGGTGGGGCATGGATAAAGAAAGTGGAGGACTATCATTTTACCATTTTATTTTATTTAAGTATATAAATTTTTTAAAATTTTAAACTAAGTGGTAAATTTTTATATTTTTATTTAAAAATATAAATTTTGTTATTTTTTAATTTATAGATTTATTAAATGGTAATGATGACATTGTAAAAGATAATTTTAATTGAAATATGAAAAATTTATAGTTTTAAATAAAAAAAGTCAAATTTTGTATTTTTAAATAAAAATATAAAGATTTATTGCTTAATTTAAAAACCTTAAAAAATTTGTATTCTTACAAAGAAAATATAACAAAATTTGTATTCTTATCTTATGAGAAATCTTTACTTAATAACTAATATTTGTAGTCTAATATAGTTCGAATAATAATATATATTTTAAGTTTTATTTCAACTACTTTATGGTCACTTAAGTTCATATGTAAATTTCCATTATTTCACGAGAAATCTCGGGACTCAATAGCTTGTGTTTGTAGTTTAGTGTAATCAAAATAATCAAATATAATCTTTTTAAAGTTTTATTTCATGTGTTTTATATTTATAGTCAGCTGAGTTCATATGTAAAATTTCATTTTAATGATTGTATTAAAAAGAAAAGTTTATTTAAGTACATAAGAGTGTAATAAATAAATAATTTTATAATTAATTTTATATAAAAATAATAAAAAATAATATTTATTTTAATAATATTATTATGTAAATAATTTTAATTAATTAATTAATATTAATATTTTTTTATGAAAATTAATTTCTCTCTCTATTTTAAAATATATATTGTTTGATTATTTTCACATATTTTGGAGTTTGCCTTTTTATAGTATATTAATAATAATTAATTTTTTAATTAAATAAAATTATTTAATAAAAATTACATATAAAAATAAAAAAAATCTTAGTGGTCATTCATATATTTTAAAATAATATTACCTTGACTATATATAAAAAAGTTAAATAATTTATATGTAATATATATACATATATAATATAACAAATACATTCTTAATTTATATATTAATTTATAAAAAAATCATAAAATAAATATCACAATACTATAATTGTAATATTACTTAAAACTATAATTTAAAATCTTACATAATATAAACTAAATGTGACATAATATGCATATTATATCATAATTAAAATTTTAAATATTAAGAATTATTTATAAAATAATATATTAAATTATAGTATTTTAATGACTCTATAATTATAATATTTTAAAAATATATAAAACGGTAGGAAAAAAAAAAAACGGGGAGGAAAGGAAAGCCGGTCCGGTGTCTTGTCCCTTCCCCTCCCGCTGCTTCCCCTCTCTTTTTCTCTCCGTGGAAATTTTAGCAAACTATCATCTGGTTTTATTTTTTTATTAATCTTTTGACATTGATAACCACATTAAATTTTAATTAATTCAAAATTAAATTACATTAAATTTTATTAAATAAAACTCCCTCAATACTTATTTTTTTCATTTATAAAATTTAAATTTAAAATTTTATTTAAGAAATATCAAATTCTTTTCACCTAAATCAACCATAATTGTTGCAAAATATCATCTGGTTTTTTGGATAAAAATATTTATTTTTTCATTTTTAATTTGTTGTTTCTGTTTCTATAACTTTTCGAAACTAATTTTCTTGCCACCAAAATATTCCTTTCGCTCTCTTTCTCTCTCTCAAACAATGAGAGCAGAGGAGAGAGAAGCGAAGAAGTGTCTCCAAAGCAAACAAGTTGAAAATTTGGTACCTTCCCAATTCTCCCCAGGAACAATAGGAAAAGGAGAGATGGGAATGGAGGTTGCAGGAGAGATGAAGGGACCGAGGTTTCCTCTCAGCTTTTGGGAGGTGGCTGGGGCGTCGATGGTTGTATTGGGATTTATCCTGGGGCTTCTCGGCGTCTACCTTACCTTGCCGGCTTCTGATTACAGCTTTCTGAAGCTCCCTAGAAGTCTTGAAGATCTGCAAATTCTCAGGTTGGGATTTCATTCATGCGTCTTTTTGTTTTTAGGAAGAAGATCATTTTTTTATGTGGGTAAGAAAATGGGGATTTGAACTCTTCTTGGTTTTTGGTCATCTAGTTGATTGAAGATCTATTTGTGCTTTAAAATCTAACCAAAGAAGTCATCTTTCCTGGAACATAGCTTTCAGATATTTGTTGCTCTAGAGCAATTATTTCATCCTGCGGTTTTATTCTATTTGATTGTCTGAGTTTTGGGGTAGAAGAATGCAATATTTCCTACAATTTTTCAAGGATCTAAAATGTCACTATTTTTCTAAATCCAACTAACAATTAATTATTTCTGACTTTACAAAATCGGATAAAATCAGATGAACAAATTGCTTTATTTGTTTGAAGTAAAAACCGGGTCCTTTGTTATGCAGAATACTACACTCCGGTTGCTACGGAAGGATTTGCCATCTTCATAAGTTTTTGGCCTCGATTGCTTAGAATTTCTCTCCCACAAGAGGGAATGTTAAAGTATCTTCTCATCTTAAAATTTCCCAGATTCTAGTAATCCCTGTCGAAGCTCTTGAAAGATGTTAGTTTCCACTTGTTATATTATAAAACTACAGAAAATTATGTGCATTCGACCTGAAGACATCGGATGCAGTGTTCTGAATTTTATTGCTTTTCAGGGCTGTGTCCTCTTGTAACTGGTGTTAGCTGGTGTGATTAAGTCATGAGATATTTTCAAAATTCCTTGATTCTATAATCTTTGCTTCTTTACTGATTTTTATGTCCATTTTGGGGTTTTATGTTTGTTTCAATACAGTGTGATGAATGCATTTTGTTGATGTTTCTTGTAGAGATAATCTTGAGACATACACAAGTGACTATACCATACAAGTCCTGGTAGGGTATTGTGTGGTATACATTTTTATGCAAACTTTCATGATTCCCGGGACTGTGTTCATGTCATTGCTTGCTGGAGCCCTGTTTGGAGTCTTCAAAGGCGTAGCTTTGGTTGTGTTCGCTGCCACAGCTGGTGCTTCTTCTTGCTATTTCCTTTCAAAATTAATTGGACGACCCCTTATCTTCTTTCTTTGGCCAGACAAGCTGGCTTTCTTCCAGGCCCAGGTGATTCTCAACTCCATTATTGGAAACATGTTTGCTTATAATGTGGAATAAATTTTCCATTCTAATTTGCAGGTGGCTCAAAGAAGGGAGCGGTTGTTGAACTACATGCTTTTCCTTAGGCTAACACCTACCTTGCCAAATACATTTATCAATGTTGCCTCACCGATTGTTGATGTGCCTTATCATATTTTCTTCCTGGCAACTTTCATTGGACTTATCCCAGCTGCGTATATAACTGTCAGGGTAATACTAGTACAACTCAATTCTTTTTGCCCTGACTATTTCGCTTAATGAGTTTCATTTGCACTAAAATGCTGTTTGCCATATTTACTAATAATATGTGCTTTTTTGCTTCTTGTGCAGGCTGGAATAGCTCTTGGAGAGCTACAATCAGTTGGGGATCTTTATGATTTCAATTCAATTGCCACTCTGTTCCTTATTGGGGTTCTGTCTGTCACTCCTACACTTCTGAGGAAGAGCGAATCATAGAATTTGAACAAGTGATGTTTGCTTGCTGTAAATGGGCCTTCAATCTCCCAGAATCAGTTGGGGTTGCACTTCATAGGCATGGCTGACAATCTGATGTTCAACAATCAAGATGATGCGTTAGTCCTCAAATGAATTATTTATCACGTGTCACATTTGATTTCGCTTGTGAGGGAAGAAAGAGAATGTGGGTTAGGGCTGGTAATATAGTTTGTCTGCATTATATTTAACTGGCAAAATATGTACATAATGGAACTTGCATCAATTAAGAAAAGGAGCACCTTGTGTGAATCCCTTTCTAGTAACAGCCTGGTGGTAACGCTTTTATTACCTGGAAAGAAAAATGATAAATGCATATCAGTAAAGATGCAGCCAATGATCTCTCAGTATGGACAAACACCAATCCTCTTTTGATGTGGCCGAAAAAGCCAGATACATGCTCTTTTGATGAATAATGTCATAGTTCATTATACAAGAGAAATAATCATCTCCTTTTCTCAAATCTCGCTTCACCTGACTTAAGGTCTCAAATCTCTATCCACTTGATTTAAGGTTTGATCTTGAGATTTTCAACTTGAAATCTCAAATTCTTAATTAGTTGAGTCATCTCTTTTAAAATAGATTTTCCAGCACGATTATGGTTTTAAATGTTCAGCCTTTCCCTTAGCAAAATATAAATAAATAAAGAAATAAGAACCAATACTTGGTAAACCTCTCAGCTTAAGCAATGCTCTAATTGACCCTTTTTCCTTTTGCCTGACCTATTACCACAATCTTCTTTTGGCCTTCTTCTTGTGGGCACTACTCTCATGAGTGCGGTTGTCTAGCTTCCGTTTTGCACCCACTTGTTTTAAAGCACCTGCATTTGCCTTTGCCTTTCTTGCTGCAACTGCAGGCCTTTTAGTCTTCCTTTCTTTTGGTTTCTCACCACTTGAGGTAGTAAATTTTGCTTTCGCTGAGCTGTTGCCCTTTGAATGAACTTTCTTGTTGACATCTGATTTGCTTGCACGCAGACCCTGGTATGACATAGTAGCCTTTGAATTTGATTTGTTCTTATTGCCTGAGGAATTCCTTGAATCCACAACAAACTTCTTGGCTGGGGAATTAGCTGTTTCTCCATTTGATAGGTTCTTTCTCTTGGATGGTGTGGAATCTGGTCTAGCATGACTAAGCCGAAGTTCTCTATCCCTAAGCTTTAAAGTCCGTTTCTTAAGGACCAAATTTGCAGCTTCCTGCATCCATAACAGACCTCAACCAGTAAGATAAGTAACCACGGGGAGACTCCCAAAATTTTAATTCAATAGCTGCCTTCCCCCAATCAATTTGTATCTAAATCCATACATCTATACACTAACAACAAGTACATCACTGTTCAAGCTAACTTTCTACAAGAACTACACTAGAAAATGAAATATGTAGAAAATGCCTACTCTAATTAATTGCATGCTTTGAAGAATAGAAGGAATCAAAACTTTACTTCCAAAAAGGGAAAAAAAATGCAACCTGAATAAACGCCAGTATATTGGAGAGGTACTAAAAGGAAAATGAGTCAGAAATTTTAAGAGGGATTTCTTCATATACTTTTGTGTGAAAACATACAAATTCTTGTAAAAGTTAATTCTCTCATTCTTTTGTTTAAT